TTGTACTGTGAGACAATTATATTTATATTGCACCATTCACAATGTGAGGATGCCCCAAAGCACTTAACAATGCTGAATGAGCACTCGAGCTGAATGGGGAGGGTAAAGCATTGTCAAAGAGGTGCATTTTCAAGATTGGTTGGGATGAAAAAGGTTTTTCAACCCATTTGATTTCATCCTTCTGGATATAACGTGGAGTCCTGTAGCACAATGGATATCGCACCTCATCTTGGGCAAGTTTTCTTACTCCACATGCCTCTGTTTAACTAATAGTGTTGGTTTTAATTGTTTGATGGATCATTTTCCGGGTGTAATAACCCTTCAAAAAATATATAGTTACTCAATCCACGACTGTTTGTGGGACACTGCTACTGGCTGCCACATTTTGTCCATAAAATATAGAGTTAATCCACTTTACAATATATTCTGGGAAGCTTTGAGACATGTCAAAAAGGTTATAAAACGCTATATCAAATGCATGGGTTGTTATTATAAAATTCACAACAGTAAAGCACTGAATATGACATTTATTCTGCGAGTCAAACAACATGATTGGACCTTGGGCCTCTCGTCATTGGTTGTAAGTTTGTTCATATTTTATCAGCCAAGTGTCTGACCCTCTGAAAACCCATCATCATCAAAGAAAAAACACTGAGTTCCAGAAACAAAATTAAATTTCCAATTTCTGGAATGGAGTGGGCAATGTCCCTGGATGGATGGACCCAATTTACCTAATTCGCAAAAAATATTAAATTGTCAAGAGCCCAAGACCTGTGGACCCTAGAGTGTGTGTTGAAGTGCTGCTGGTGTTTAACCAGCACAAAAACTGCTTAACGTCATTGTGAACATGGTCTTGCTCGCTTTCTGCTGCTTGTCCAGCTTGGACCACTCTACTTGTTAGGGCTTTGACGTGCAAGGTTATGGCCCTTTTCAATTACATACCAACAACAACAACTTGCATTTATATAGCGCCCTTCACGCTAGACAACAACAGCAGCAAAATTACATTTGTATAGCGTCTTTCACGTTGGGAGGATGTCCCAAGGCGCTGAACAGACAGAGTTACGGACCCGAGCTGAGGGTCGGGGCGGGGCAGTGGGGAGGGCAGGGGGGAAGCAATGAGATCGAAAGCACGGTTAAAGAGGAGGGTCTTGAGATGGATCCTGAAAGTGGCGAGGGAAGGGACGAGATGAAGGGATTGAGGGAAGTGTGGTATCAAAAACAATTTACATTTATTACAATTTATTACAATTACAATATTTAAAAAAACGTCTGAACCTGAACCTCATCTACCTCTACCTCTGGAGAATGGTTTCTCCTGCTCAGCTGTTCAGCAATGTCACCATGTTTATATTTGCAAATTGCACAAGTTTTGTGTCTCAGCCTAGCCATCGGAACAGCTTTGCAACCTACATTTCATTTTTACTTTTAGGTTTAATTCCGGGAGAGAAGTACAAAATCTGCACCCTTCGTAGCTTAGATTTCGGGTTAGGGCCTGTGAGTATCACTTCACAAGCTACGTTTGAAATTCCCCCTAAATCTCACAACACTGGAACCTGCAATTTGCTTTGTTTCGAATTTTATTTTATTTGGGATGTGCACAACTGGGGAGATGGTTTGGATGTTTCTACGTGACACTCTCTCTTCTCTCTGGATATTGTTGTCTTATTGAAAGTCCTATCAGTAGGATGTAATGTTTGACACTATTAGCTGGTCCAACTCCAATTCGCTTCTCTCAGCTTCTCAGTTCCCTCAACCTTAAAACAGTTTAAACATTACATAAATATAATGAAATCTTAGCAGCTCTGGCATTTTTGATGATGCACTATATCAAATGCAAGGATTATTATTATTGCTCTAGTACCTTTCTAAACTTTTTATGGGTAATATTCACAGCAATCACAGAGACAATATTAAAAATATTGGAATATTGACTGAAGTGATTCAGGGATTCAGTTGCGTTGGGAATTAGTTCCATAATAATAATCCTTGCATTTAATGTAGCACCTTATCATGTTGTTGAGATGTCTCAAACTGCTTCACTGTATATATTGTAAAGTGAGTTGACTATAATTTGTGGGCAAAACGCGGCAACCAATTGCGCACAACAGTGTCCTACAAAGAGTCATAGATTGAGTGATAAAATTATTATTATTTATTGATTTTGAAGGGATTATTACTCCAGGAAAGCAATGCGTTAATCAACTAACAGCCAGGTTCCTACTTACTGCTTGGTAAACAGAGCCGTGTGTAGTAAGGAAGCTTGTGTTTGAGTGCTCGAACTAATATGCTACAGGAAACCACTATATCCACTCCACTAAAGCAGGCAATTTGGAACCCTTTGAATGAAAATGTATTTAATGAGTCATATCTATTTAAGTATTGTGCAGTTTATATTTTAAGGAGAGTTTTGTAGCCACAGATTGTCTGCAGATGTACCAATCATACATATATCTGACCTGAGGTACCGTATTGTCATATTTCTTAGTTTTGACTTTGTTATATTAGTCAGTTAGCTATTAATAATCCATGCATTTGATACAGTGCCTCATTATGTAGTTAAGATGTCTCAAAACATATAATAATAATATTATTATAAAACACTTCATAAGATTTTATTGTAACGTGAGGTGACTGTATTTGTAGGCAAACTTGGCACCTAATTTATGCACAACAATGTCCCACAATCAGCCATGAAGAGAATGACTGATTTATATTTGGTGGATTGTCCGCCAGGAGAAAATATATTCCTTTTTGGAAAGTGCCATGGAATCTTTACTGAGTACCTGAATAGGTAGATGGAATTGCCTTGGTTTAATGCCGTATCCTAAAGATGGTATCTCCGACAATGTAGCAGTTCCCCAGCGCTCCATAGCTTGGACTGTTAGCTCAAAGCCCGAGTGTGGGGCTTGAACCCACAACCTTTGACTTAGATGCAAAAGTTGCTACCAACTGGGTATGACAAGGCAAGGCAAGTTAAGGTTGTTAAATAGCTAAAGTGGTGCTTGAATTTCTGCAGCTCCCTGAGACTTACAGTTGTCCCTGTCTCTTCTGTGATTATAGTGATCAATTCATTTCCACTCCATAGCGGCTAAACAACCTGTCAAAACACAGGGCAACCTGCTCATCTGTGGAAAGTCTCTTTAATATAGCTTGGCATGTTGTACCTTCTGGATGAGCAGCTTGGTAATGTTTTTCAGTAATATAATTATAATAGGAGCGCTTGTTATCTTTTATATGAGATCGCAAGAACATGACTCCCTCACTATGCCATCAGCACTCAGTGATACATTCTAAATTCATCTTTTGGTTTACAAATCTGGAGCTGAAATGAAACCAAATTTATCAGAGTGGTTTAATCGTGGACCTAGAATGGATATTTTGTTTAAAACAAATAGAGTGAGAGAGTAGAAGGCAGGGAATGAGAGAGAGAAAAACAGAGTGAGACGAAGTGAGGTTGACAGACACAGGGAGACAGAGTGAAGGGGAGACACTGCACCCCCCCCCCCACCCAGCTCCCCTCCTCTCCCTCTCTTTCTCCTTCCTTTCATCACATCCAGGATCCAGGCTTGACTATGCTACGTCCATGCTCAATGGACATCCCAACTCTTCCCTCCACAAGCTGCAGATTATTGAGAACTCTGCAGCTTGTATCCTCTCCTTCACCAAGCTAGTGAGCCGATTCCACCCATCATTGACGTGCTTCACTGGCGAGCCATACCTCAAAGAAAATCGAGTTTAAGATCATCATCCTCACTTTCAAAGCCCACCACGGTCTTGCTCCTCCCTACCTCTGCGACCGACTAATGTTATCAACCTTCTCTCTCCCTCCACTTGGTGGACACTGTCCAGCTCCATTCCCCTGTCCTGCTTGCTCCACCATTGGCAGTCGGGTTTTCAGCTTTTCTGCTCCCACCCTTTGGAATTCCATCCTGGAATCCCATTGCCTTGACCCCTTCAAGGTTCTTCACGCAGGGTAACATCTTGGAGTGCTTAAAAGTGGTGCCGTTTGGTGCCGAGCCAAGGAGAAAAGGAGATAACTAGGTACAGTCAAAGAGGAAGGACTTGAAGTGCTATCTGAATGGGTAAAGAGGGGACAAGGTAGACGGATTGAGGCAGAGAGTTCCAAAAGGTTGGGGCATGGTGGCTGAAAGTACAGCTGCCGAATATGGAGTGGACGAGTTGAGGGATGTGCAGAAGGTTGGAGCTGATTAAGCAAAAGGGCTGGTAGACTTTTGGGATGTGAGCAGGATTTAAAAAGTATTTGAGAGGCCTGGATCTGTATTTCGGGAAGTTCTGGGAAGTCACAATTATTGACATTGTCTATTTGAATCTCTTCACAAGATTACAAGATTGTTTTAAATGAAGAAGCCCTTTGCCCTCCGTGATCTCATCCCTCCAGAAATACCCACTCTATCAACTTCCCATCACAAGCTTTTTTCGCAAATGAATGTTGTTAACCTGTTCCAATAGTTAATAACCCTCCGAGTAAAGAAAAAAAAACATTCCCACTGTCTGTATTGAATTGCGGTTTGCAACACTAAACCTATTTGTCCTCTTGTTCTACTGTCTTGGTACATCCCGAAGTGTTGTTCTGCTTTTACTTTTTTCAAAGTGCTGGGGCTGCACTGTATTGTCAGAGGTGCCGTCTTTTGGATGAAACATTAAACAAAGGCCCCATCTGCCTGTCCAGGTGAATGTTAAAGATCCTGTGGCACTACTTGTAGAGCGAAAGGAATTTCTCCTAGTCTCTTGGCAAACAATCCCCCAAATAAATTTGGTCACTCAAGCTGTGGATGTGCGTGAGGTATTGCCGTTCGCAACTGACTGCCTCATTCACCCACAAAATACAAAAAGTAGTGCCACTTTACAGTATATCCTGTGCTTTGAGTTGTCTCGATGATATGATTAGGTGCTATGTCAAATGCAAGAATTATTATTAATCAAATATTATACACCTGTATAAGGTCCCCTCTGAGACATCTTCTCTTCTTTTACAGTGCTGCCCAGCCATACTTGTGGCAATCCAGGCATAATACCAAAAGGAGTTCTACATGGGACAAGGTTCACTATTGGAGATAAAATCCGTTACAGCTGTTTCACAGGCTACATCCTGGAAGGACATGCCATATTGACGTGCATTCTTAGTCCAGGAAATGGAGCTTCATGGGACTTTCCACCTCCTTTCTGCAGAGGTAAATGTCACCGCAGTAACACACCTTTCATACACAAATCACATTGTTATTGTTCTGAGATATAGACATGTACAATTTATTGCTGTGAGTTCACGTCACAGGCAAGAGTGATTCAGAGTATTTGTGGTCGTGTTCATAGATTTTTAAACATATCCACTGTGTTTCCTGTGCTTAAGTCGGCCAGAGTGCAATGATGCCAATATCACAGTTAAATACGTTACTAATCCCTATGAACCAATTCAAGGCAGAAGCGAGAAACAGTTCCATGTCACAATGTCATCCTCTTAACTAGTAGAACAAACCTTTATTATACTTGGTAACAAAATGTATTCTCTTTTGGGTCTTCAGCCAAATTTAAGTTTTTATTAAACTTTTTTTCAGAAATTGAAGAAATTAGAAATTAAGAAGGAAACGTAATGGCTGAAATATGTTGTGTCTAATTGGTTCTGTTTTGAAATGTTTGGCAGCTCAAATGACACAGTTAAGATTTCCTTTCAGACCCTTAGCTCTCATTAATGTATATGTTCATTACAACAACAACAACAAGATTCCATTTATAAAGCGCCTTTCACGTCAGGAGGACGTCCCAAGGCGCTGCACAGTTGGGTCATGACCCGAGCAGGGGGGAAATGGTCAGGGTGAGGGGAGGGAAGGGAGAGAGCGAGGAGGGGGAAATGGTCAGGGTGAGGGGAGGGAAGGGAGGGAGCGAGGAGGGGGAAGAGAGTCGAGAGGGGAGCTGAAGGCTCGGTCAAAGAGAAAGGTTTTGAGACCGGCCTTGAAGGAGGAGAGGGAGGAAGCAAGGCGAAGGCACTGGGGGATAGCGTTCCAGAGCCTCGGGGCTGAGAGGCTGAAGGCCTGACCACCGATGGTTGGGCGATTGGGACGGGGGACGTGGAGCAGACCGGAGCCGGAGGAACGGAGGGTACGGGCAGGTAGGTAGGGGGATAGTAGGTTGGAGAGGTAGGAGGGAGCGAGGCCGTGGATGGCCTTATAGGTGACGTTGAGTATCTTGAAATCAATCCTCTGGGGGATGGGGAGCCAGTGGAGGCGAGCGAGGGTGGGAGTGATGTGGTCCCGAAGCCTGGTGCGGGACAGTACACGAGCTGCAGAGTTCTGAATGACCTGCAGCTTGTGGAGGGAGGTGGCGGGAAGGCCGGCGAGGAGAGAGTTCCCATAGTCCAGCCTTGAGGTGACAAAGGCGTGGACCAGGGTTTCAGCAGCGTGAGGGGTGAGGTAATGCCGTAGTCTGGCGATGTTCCGGAGGTGATGGAAGGCGGTGCCAGTTGTGGTGCGGATGTGAGGGAGAAAGGACAGCTCAGGGTCGAACAAAACGCCGAGGTTCCTGACTGGCTTTGAGAGGTGGAGAGTGCAGCTATTAGCTATTAGCTATTTAGCTAAATTAGCTGTTTAGCATAACATTTCAAAAAACTTTGGCCCTAAAAACTACCAGATCAGCAACATTGGTGACCCAAGTTATTGCAGATATTGTTAAGTTTACCTTTGTGCTGCTCTCCTGCTGCTCAGTGAATATTCTGTTTTACGTCTTGTTGATTCTGTGATATTTGTATTCTCTTTGGTTCATTCATCTATCTCTCTGCTATTTAGCTGTCTCTCTCACATCTTTTCCTGACTCTCCAGTTCCCCAATGTTTCTCCATCTACGTTGGCTTCCTGGAATTCCTTCATATTTCTTGTTTCTTAAATACTTCACTGGCTTCTACGTTTTCTCTTGCTTTCTGTTGTCTAAACAATTTCTGTTTCCCTGCTATCCAGACTTCCTTTGAAAGGTTCTATATAAATGTATATTTATATTCTATGTTGTTGCTTTCTACACTTTCTCTGAGTCTTTGGCATCTCTCTATAGTTTACTTTCTGCTTTCTCTGGTATTTTACCTCCTCTGTACTTTTTCCAATGCTTAATAATCCTTGCATGAGTTTATCATTTCTTTACACTTCCTCCAGCACTTTGGTGTGTATACACTTCCTACGATCCTTTGCATCTCTGTACTCTCTCTAATGCTTTGTTCCCTTTGTGCACATTCTCTGGCGCTTTGGTGTGCTCATATATATGATTTGATCCTCTGCTGTCCATTATATCTTCTGTTTATTTAGGGATGGACAATTTTAGTGGCAATTGGAGTGCTGCTTTGATGCTAGATAAGATTGTTTTTGACAGCTAAAAGAGACACCACCTATTTGTTTGGTCCCTTCATTCAACTACTTGAAATAAATAGCTCTCAGTTTAAAATGGAAACTGACCAGGCATTTTTCAGCCTCAAGAAAGAGGATTCTTATGAATATACAGTATTGCACAAGTGTGTTTGAGCATATAATATAATATATATCATAATACAGCGTATAATCTGCTATAATCTGATAAAAAAATAATTTGGTCACTCAATCTACGACTGCTGTGCACAATTGGCTGCCGTGTTTCACCCACAAATTATATTGTCAATTCACTTTACAGAGCATGTTGTGAAGCGCTTTGAGACGTCTTGACGACGTGATAAGGTGCTATATCAAATGCAAGGATTATTATTATATATGTAAATTAATAACTACTTGTATATGGATAATAAAATAATTCACAAGTGGTTAACACATAAGTGTTTGTAGATTGGTACATCAGTACTTCATGCAATAATACCTTCCCCAGGAGAACAATAGAATAAAACCCCTCAAAACTCTCAGACCTTGGCAAGGATCAAACATGTTACATGGTAACATCTTGAATCTAGCTTTAAAGACTATTATTTAAAGACTTTAAAGACTATTGTATTTCCGAACTCAGAAAAAGTGGTGAGTTCTATATTCTCACCATTGTCTGTATCAAGATTTTTCATCTGAACCTCTCCATTAGATCTATTGATGGTTATCTTATATTTATGCCCCCTCGTTTTGGACACACCCACAAAGTATTATCCCACTTAGCCTACCCACACTGTTGAGGGTAAAGGGAGATCTTAATTAATACAATAATAAAATTATGTAACAATACAATATAATAGTACTAATTAAGCAAACATTTGTTAGATTACCTATTACTGGAGGGACCTGAAACAAATGGTTCAACAAAGTCAAATGACACTTGTTTTTGAGCTTGATCTTTATATTGTAGTGAAAGATTCTGTAGAACCATTAATAAGGCTCGATTATGGAAACTCCCTCTTCATCGGCCTTCCCAACTCTTCCCTTCACAAACTGCAGATCATCTAAAACTCTGCAGCTCATGTACTCTCGCGCACCAGGCTCCGTGACCCCATCACTCCCATCCTCGCCCGACTCCACTGGCTCCCCATCCCTCAGAGGATTGAGTTCAAGATCCTCGTCCTCACTTTCAAGGCCATCCATGGCCTTGACCCCTCCTACCTCTCTGACCTGCTGACTCCCTACCAACCTGACCACTCCCTCTGTTCAGCGAGCTCTGGTCTGCTCCATATCCCCGCCCGACCTGTCCTACCATCAGATGCCGGGCTTTCAGCCTCTCTGCCACACACTCTGGAACTCCATCCCACGTTCCCTTCGCCTCGCTTCCTCCCTTGCCTCCTTCAAGGCTGGTCTCAAGACCCTTCTCTTCGATCATGCCTTTGGTTGCCCTCCCACCTCTCTGCCTTCCCTCACCCCTACAACACCCTTCCCTAATGCTCAGGCCCCGACACCTGACTGTTCAGCGCTTTGGGATGTCCTCCCGACGCGAAAGACGCTCTATAAATGTAATTTTGTTGTTGTACAGCACAGAAGAAGGCCATTCACCCATCGTTTCTGGACTTGTTCTCTGAAAGATCAACAATTCAGTCCCATTTACTTGCCTTTTTCTCCAAGCCCCTGTAAATTACTCTTCTTACTATCTACTTCCCTCTTGAAAGACTTATGTGGAGTATAAACACTGGCACAAATTGGTTGGGTCAAGTGGCCTCTTTCTGTGCTGTACTTTCTTTGTAAATCTTTATTTGCTGGACCTCCCAGTTTGGTCTCAACAGCAAAATCAGATAGCTTTGTTTCCGTGCTCACTTTCAAATAATTTATGAACTGTGTAAATAGTATTGACCCAAGCACAGATCCCTACAGTATCCCATTAGTTACTTCCTTTCACGCCAATGCAGTTGCTTGCACAACTCTCCGTTCTTTCCTGTGATGCAGTCAATTTCCGATCCCCTTCAGGAGCTCTCTGTCCAGACCTTCTCATCTTATGGAGCAATTTCCTGTACGTCTTTATGTTAAATGCTTTGCTAAAATCTAAATGTATAATGTCAGCCGAGTTCCGCTTGTCAAAAAGTTGCATTGTCTCTTCAAAGAAGCCTGGAAGATTTGTCACATGCCCTACAATAAAGCTGTTCCACTTGCCTCTTATAACACTACCATGTTATAGCTGGTAGGCCAACAGGGGTTTCAAATCCTTCCGGCTACAATTGGCTTAATTTGAAGATAAACTCACTTTTGGTGGAAACCTAACGCTTAGAGTGCTATAGATCGTGCTATAATGTGGTTTAACTGTATTATAGTAATGAAACAATCCTGATATTTGAGTAACTTTATTGCTGCGATGCTTGTGTTATATTTTTGTTCCAGCTATAAAACTGGTTGCACCAAAGAGACATGTGGGTACAAATTCCATTCAGTGCTAGGTGCACCTAGGTGCGCCTTTGGTAATGTTAGCCACTAATGGGACTTCCCATTATATTTGTTAATGTATATATATATATGACCAACGCCATTGGTGCTGTGTATAGCATTCAACAGAATTCTTCCTCAATAAATTTTCGTAGATCTTGTGGTGTTTTAAGGGTTAACATAGAAAGAAACACAAGCAAATCGCAATGGATGGGAATCAGCATTAACAAACAAGATAATCTCCCCACAACAACTTTCCTAAATGAGCTGTACTTTTTATTCCTTCAGGCAAATATAGTAAAATATCATTAATAAAGAGCTAAAAAAAATGCAAGTAGAGGCTGCTTTTTATTTTTTAAAGAAAGAATTAGCAATGTGTAAAATAAA